AATATGATAAAGCAATTTTTTGTATATATATTAGTTTTTGATTCTCCTTGACATACGGGAAGTTTTAAATTTAATGGGGCTCAAAAATTGCAATAGGTCACAAGTTCGAATCCTAGGTGGCAAGTTTTGAACCCCCTTTACCATTAAATTTAAAACTTTCCTTATGTCAAGCAGATTCGAGAACTTGTATATATATATACAAAAAGTTTTTATCCAATATGTACAGAGCAATTTCTGAAGGGGATTCAATTGAACTTAGGTTCGCCAGTACTTGCACTCCAGAGGAAATTAGTTTGGCAAAGATGGTGATTATGCAATTTCATATAATGGCTCTGGTAACACATTTTGCTCCTTGGATATCAATGCCAGTAGTAGTGTGATGTTTTATGCATTTTTTCTGTAATGGCAGTAGTAACTATCTTGCACCTTGCAGATCTATGCCACGGTGAAGAGTGGTTCCCTGGCTATTGCTGCATCTACATTGGATTCCTTACTTGATCTCATGGCTGGTGCCATACTGTGGTTGACTCACCTATCAATGAAAAATATCAACATCTACAAATATCCTATAGGGAAGTTGCGAGTGCAGCCAGTAGGAATTATTATATTTGCTGCTGTTATGGCTACACTTGGTATGTGATCTCCTTTGACATGCTAACCATTTCATTTAGAATCCATTGAGTCGTTACATTTGTTGGGGGAGCTATGTCAAGAAAAGTATCCGTGAGAACTCTATTGATATTGTGCTTAAGTTTCGTCCATTTTAGGCTTTCAGGTGTTGATTCAGGCTGTAGGACAACTAGTTGAAAATAAATCTCCCGAAAAGATGACCTCGGATGAACTTTTCTGGTTGTATGCTATCATGATAACAGCCACAGTGGTAAAACTTACCCTTTGGCTCTACTGCAGAAGCTCAGGAAACAACATTGTACGTGCCTATGCAAAGGTGTGTTTAGTATCTGTGCTTTCTGGCTTTGACATCCTTATGGTGATTCTCTACTTGTCTAAATTGAAGATATCTTTGTCAGGATCACTATTTTGACGTGGTAACTAATGTAGTCGGATTGGTAGCAGCTGTCCTTGGTGATAAGTTCTACTGGTGGATCGATCCCGTTGGCGCCCTTATCCTTGCAATTTATACAATCTCCAACTGGTCAGGAACTGTTTTAGAGAACGCAGGTAATTCTTGTTTCTTTCAACACGGTGGTTTTCTGGCTATTCGGGACACGGATATTAGTTATTTAATGGCGAGAGTGGAAACAGAAAAAAAAATTGGTGATGAAGGCTGGCTTCTGCTGCCCTTCTCACCTGAAGGAACATCACTTCATCATAGTGAATCAGAGTCATGAAAAATTCTTTTCTTTCTGTATATATCTTGTATAAGTGGTTTTTCTAAATCAAATCCATAAACTATTACTTTCAATAAAAAAGGAAATATCACCAAATGATAGTGAGTGCTGCAAAATTTTGTGCTGGCTACAAAATCCAATTGTTTGATAGCCCAATTGAGATATTGGAGCTCGAATTTATTAAAGAAGTTCGTTCTACTTTTAAAATGTTGTTATGGACCGAAGAATGTCCGATGCTAACCTGAACAAGGTTTTCTCATGTAGCGTCATTGGTGGGACAGTCAGCGCCTCCCGAGTATTTGCAAAAGTTAACATATCTTGTTATAAGACATCCCCAAGTGAAGCGCATTGATACAGTTCGGGCATACACATTTGGTGTTTTGTACTTTGTAGAGGTTGGTGTCTTGAAAATCTCTAATAGCATAATGGTTTTTCTGTCAATCATTTTAAAAGTAGTCTGCTTCTCTCAACACAGGTTGATATTGAACTTCCAGAAGATTTGCCTTTAAAAGAAGCACATACTATTGGAGAAACTCTACAAATAAAGCTCGAGAAACTCCCTGACGTTGAACGAGCATTCGTTCATCTCGATTTTGAATGCGAACACAAACCAGAGCATTCTGTCCTCAGCAGGCTACCAAACACTGAACCTTAGCATTTACAGTTATGTACAGAGAGATGTGGATATACAGAGGAGAGTTGCAATTACATTCGTTTCCGCTTCAGTTACTGTAGACACAAACATTAACTGATGGTCTTAAGTGTATATTCATATGATTCAGCACAGTTGATTCTTGAAAGAGATATAGTGAACTTGATTTTAATTTCAGAGTGAAAAGTACTTGTGTCATTTTTATAAGGTTGCAGGTTCACCCCTTTTGGAAATCTTGGAGATCCTTTTGTAATAGTATTTAGAGTTTTTATCATTTCCAAAGTAGAAATGTGGCATTAAATTATATGTCAAGATTAAAGGTCCTGAGCTTAAGATCTCTCAGTGTACTGGCACTTGTATGAACTATGTTTGCCATTGTATTCCCAGCTAATACAAATTTGAAATATAAAGCATTTTAAGATTTTCAAACAGGGCATTTCTAAGATTAACCGAAATGGGATGTTGCTGAGAATTTGGTCGGGGAATTATCACTTTTAACCCNTATATATACATACATATATATATATATATACATATATATATATACATACATACATACAAAAAATATACAAAATTTTATATATTTTTTTCTGCTATTATTTTTACTGCGGCTATATACATGGGGATTTTTCTGGGGATTATTACCTGCAAGTAAAAAAAAAAATCCGTATGTAAATTACCTGGGGTTTTAATCCGTATGTAAATTACTTGCGAATTTTTTCGTAGGAAATTCTAAAAATTCACATGAAAGTTTTGGTATGAAAGTTAGGAGTTTCCTTGCGGATTTTCATACGAAAATATCTGCAAGTAAATCCCCATCAAAATTTCCAAATAAATCTATAAAACTTTTAGACAAAAAATTAAAATTACTGCTATAGTATTTTTATTATTAAAATTATATACATATATTATTTTTGTATTTGGATATACGCTTCTCACACATATACAATACCACAACATTGTTTTTCTTATATTAGTTATTAATTACTATTACTATTACTATATTACTATTACTAAATATATATCCAAACATCTCCCTCCAAATTTTCATGTTTTGTAACTTTCTTAACATAAGACTAGTTTATTACATTAATACACCAAGAGGCTTTGAAGCAAATACAGTCGGACGCCTTGCCAACATGCTGAAGTTATAAACCGGATGCATTAATTAAGGATTTGATAAATCAAGTAAAAAATTATTTTTAGAAGTAAAAGCAAGTGAATTAAATTATAACTATATACTTTTAGTTTAATAATATTCTTAGTTATTTTTCAAAAGTTTCATTTATATTCCTTGAATGCCACTAATTTCTTTTTATATAAATATTATATTAATTAACAAGAATTCTTGTATATCGTAATTGGTAAGAATTATTTCGTTAATCCTAACAATTTATACAAGATCAAGTTATTATAATATGCTAGAAGTTAATCAAGAGATGATGTTAGAAAGTAAAATCATATGGTCACTTGAAATTAAGTTTCAATCCTAAGATTTACAAACTAATATCATTTTAACACACTACAATTAAATTTTATCATTTTAAATACATGTGAAAAAATAACATACATAAGATAAAAAGTTAATAAAAGTTAGTTACATTTTTTATAAGTATAATATAATTTTTCTCTGCTTAAAAATTAAACTTAAATTATGCACTTATGCATAATTTAGTATATTTTCTGATGATATTAACTAAAATATATGAGACATGGCCGTATCTTAGTTTTGTTATATCCTTTTATATCAACCATCTTAAGATTTTAGTTCTTGATATAACTAGATTTATGCTAATGATATTGTTATTGAAGTTGTTGAAAAAGTGATGACCGACTATATTAAATTAATGACTTGTAATATTCAATCCGAACATATATATATCATTAAGTTTTATATAGAGTCAGTAATTTAACTATTTTTACCTATAAAGTCGAGAAAATATAATAGATAAAATTAACACCTAAGGATGTGTTTTCCATATCAAGTTTTTGTAGTTTTTAGAAGTAAAAAAATATTTTTAAATAAAAATGATAATATTTTCTTAAAACTTTAAATAATATTTTAAAGTATTTATAGAAAATCAAATTTAAATATCTTACTATAAAATCCTCAGGTAAATTTTCAAGTATTATATATTCAACTAAAGCAGCAACAATAACATTTCTATCTAAATCCTAAGAACAAATCCTCAATCAAAATTTCAGACAAATTTTTAGGTAAGAAAATTCTCAGCTATATCACCAAGAACAAGTTTCTAGCAAATAATAATAAAATTTGCATGTAATTTTCCAAATAAGCAAATTCCAAGAATTATTTTTAAAACTAAATATACAACAACAAAATCTCTAGGTAATTTTTCAAGTAAGAAAATTCCCAAGTAAATCTTCAAGAAAATTTTTTCAGCTACATCCGCATCAACAACATCCCTAGGTAATTTCTCAGCTAAGACAATCCCCTAAAAGAATCTCAAGCTAAATTCACAATAACAATATCCCCAGGTAATTCCCCAAATAAGCAGATCCCCAGGTAAATTCCCAAGAAAATATCCCCAAGTAAATTCGCATGTATCGCTATCTGGGAATTTTCCTACGGAGTATCATAGAAAATTTTTTCTATTTTTTTGTTTAATCACCTGCGAAAATGTACTTGCGGATTAGTTTCCCCGGTAATTTCCTAGAAAATACTTTGGCTCTTTATGGCGCCAAAGTTACGTACATATTTTCTTGGGAAAATATTTTTCGCAAGTAAAATATTCTAAATTTAGGAATTTTAATTTTTCTCATGAAAATCCGCATGTATTATCTGCAAATAAAATTCTCAGGTAAAATCCCCATGAATTAACACTTTTCTTGTATTTCCAATTTGGTCGTTGCTGATATACCTTCTTTTTCCCGAGGGAATTTATCATATATAACATGAGATCAAGGGCGGAACTAGAGATCAAGGGCGGAGCTAGAGGGACAGAAGAGAATTAATTCGAACTCATTTAGGCGGAGGATTATATTGTATGTAAATCTATATAAACCTTCTTTTCCCGTTCTTTATTCCCATTCATCCTTGTTGAATACAAACCATGAAGCAAGATAAGAAAAATCAAGAAACTTGCATTAATTCTACATTTCTAATTTATTCCTAATAAAATTTGCTTTGTTATCCAAACGTAAATGCTAAATCCTAGAAGTAAGTCTGACTGCTGAAGGTGTCACCAGAGGACCACCATCATCTTCTTTCTTACCCTCAACAGCTGCTGTTACCTTTTCTTTTTCTTCACTTTCTTTTTTCTGTTTCATCTTCTTCACCCCTTCTTTCTTAACCTGCTCAAGGACAAAGGAATAATAAAAAATTAAAAAATTTAGCTTTAGTCAGGTTGCAAGCATTAACAACAAGTGTCGAAAGACAAGTAACACAAATCCAGGATACGTAACGGCCAGCAAAGATGAATTCAGGATTTAAACTATATAGGTATAAATGTAAATGTGAATTCTATCGCCATTTCATTTCATTTGATTGACCCAGTTTCAAATCTATTATTTGTACTTATTTAATAAATTATTTTAATATATACACAAGGCCCGGGCCAAAGTATGAACTTATAACTAACGCCGTAGTGACTTGCTCCAAGTAATGGGCAGTGACTTGAAAATTAAGGTAAGTAACCATGTAAATATATTTAAATAAATGTAACCCAACTAGCCGCTCATCCAAACACTTAAACTAAAAATAACCGGTGAAGGTATAATATATACATAATTTATGTATTATATGTGTATAATTATGTATAATCAATGTATAATCTATGTATATAGATAGTGATTTTGTATGATAATGAATTTGCTATTTGAAACGTTTTTGGCTTTATTGCTTTAAAGTTATGTAACGTCTCTTATTGGAAATGTTTATTAACTTTGTTAACATTACTTTAATATGCTACGTTACATTCTTGAAAATCAGAAGTCCAATTCGGAAGTGAACAAAGTAAAAGCTTTCTACTATTGTGCTATAGTTTCTCTTTGTTAATCTTTGTTATCACGGTGTGGGCGAAATATCCTTAAGGACAGTGTCCTGGACACATCTCAAGCTAAACCTTTTATTCTCGATAATCATCCAATAATCCGTTTGAAAAAACTTTCTTGAAGATTTACAATTGCAAGGTCGTAGATTAGAATATATATTATCCAAAATCTATTCTACTTTTTACCAAAATTAAAGAGAGAATTATTAATGTGAATAAAAGAAGAGTTTGTCAAACATGATATATAATTATAAATAGAAAATAAATTAAATTAACTTTGTCGTTATGTCGTACCCTTACCTCTGGACTATTCACTTTTAGTGCATATTCTGGTGAATAAAGCTCTAACTGACCTTTGTCCATTTTGCTAGTCATCTTCCTTGGCATCAAAATTGAAGCAATTAGGAAAAGCAGAACATTTGAATAATAACTCTATATATCTCTTTTTCACGTAGTTATGTTTCAGTAAGTGTTAATTAAATGATACGTTTAAACAAAGAGGATCTTTTACACATAATTCTTATGATTAAGACTACTAAATATTCTTCATTAGAGATGCAAAAACTTTCACACACGCATATAACATGAGAAGAAGGTAGTAGATTTTGAATTTAAAGATTGAAGAATAACATCTCATTGCTAGGTATCCTTTCTACATTAGCTTTTCTGGATCTTTTTGATATTAAATGAAAAAAGGAAAGAAAGTCGAATACATCATTTTAGAATATCCCACTAGGAAAAAGTATATTTAGATATTGTTAATAAGTTTGAAAATTTCTGGACTTCAAAGATTAAAAAAAAGGCAGTACGAAGTAGGGATGTGTTCACGCAGCATCTGAAGAAATGTCGGACTTAAGGGATCTGAAGAAATGTCGGACTTAAGGGATGTGATGTAAGCTGCCTACCTACTCTGATGCAAGAAAAGTATCTCGTGTTCACGCAGGATCTGAAAAAATGTCGGACCACAAGGGTGTGATGTAAGCTGCTACCTACCTGATGCAAGGGCTAGTGACTAATTTCATGACTTGAACTCGTGACGTATATACAAAGATAACTATATCGTTGATCTAAAACTTCCCAAGACTATATATAAATAAGAACTTTCTTCAAATTTTGAGTAAGCTTACCATGTTCTTGTTTTGATCATCTGACTTTTGTTGGTAACTAGTATTCACTTTAACAGCATAGTCTGGTGAGTACAATTTCAGCTGACCTTCTTTATCTGTTGATGCTGATTTTGGAGGATTCCCTTTGTGTTTTTTGCTATTAGTAGTCATCTTGACAACTGAATGAAAAAATAAATCAAATGATTGCAAAAAAGAACCAAAAAATGATTAATGTCAAATATATAGAGAAAAAACAGGAAAATAATTATTTCAATAGTGGTTTGAAAAGCGGTGCAATTGAATGGAACTCCTGGCCATCATTGCTAGGTGTCTATTGCCTTTGTTCGCCATTTGTAGATATGTGGCAGTTTACGAAGAACTGAAACTTGCACTAATTTTATATACTAATATCTAGAACTAGAAATAGTTCCTTAAAAGATAAATTTTTCTAGAGTTTTAACTTCTATAAATGAAACTTCATGCTACTGTTGTGGAGTTTTACTTCTAGAAGCTGAAACTCCATAATATTGGCTATTTTTCAAAGATAGAATCGAAAAGGGGTAAAGTACACAAATATTCATGAAATCTTATACCTATTTATCTCATTGAAAAAATTTCAAGTTTAACAAGTGTTATCTCTCGCAAAACCTTTAATTTTTGACCTTAAAATTCTCCCCATAAAACAAGTAGGAGTCAAAAGTTAAAAGACCATCCCAAAAAATAATTTCTATGTTATTCATGAAGTAATTGCACAAATAGTCATTCTCAGGGATACTATTTAGAGATTAGCCAGTACTTATTTTGTTCTGAAATTTTAAACTAAAAATCTTAACTTCCGGACAATTCAGGATATTTTTATCATGAAAATTTGAACTGAAAAACTGAAATTCAGGACACATGGAATAATTGATAAATAGCAGCCCTTTAAAGTGGCTATTTGGTATCATTTCTACGTTATCATTGACCATGTAACTATTGGGCCTCATATTCCAAAGAAGAATTAACCCAAATAGCCGTCCACCTAACAACTTAAACTAATAATAGACGTTGAAAGTAAAATATATGCATAATTTGTGTATTATATATGTATAGTTGTGTATAATCAATGTATAATCTATGTATATGACTAGAAAAAATAAATAATGAATGTGACCGGCTATTTGTGTAAAGATACTCTTTATTCCAAATATACTTCTGCTAACACTATCGCTATGCCCAGCTCAAGAATAACTTGGCGCAAAATCTGACATGGCATACGAGACACGTCATCATCCACCTCACCATTCCCGCCAAAATCATCTACCTATAAATTTCTTTCATCCTTCTCTGTTTCTCTTTCCGCCTCCCATCATCAATGGAGTTCATGGAATCTCAAATCATCTCCACCGTCGGATCGCAAATCATCTCCGGCGAATTCAGTTTCCGGTAAAAAATACGCCGGTGTACTAGCTCCGGTGCTGGACCAATGGAGCACCAAAACACCAGAGAAACCGATAAATCTTCCTTTCAATGTCCAAAAACGCAGCGCCCGCTCCCTAGTCTCGTTGAAAGACGTCAGAGAAGCAGCTCAGAAGCTACTAAAACCCGTGCCAATCCGGCGCGAGCTGCTTTATGACCCGTTATTAAGCTCCGATGAGCAGAAATGCTCGTCGGTATCTGAATCGCCAGTGGCTGAACAAAAGAAGATATTGATTTGAATAATTTTTATTACTCTCAAAATTAATAATACTTCATCGATCTGGAAAATTTGTTGTGATCAACGCATCTAATTTCAGTGTGTGTTCAGATATGGAGTTATTAATGTATTTTCAAATAAAAATTGTATATTTAAAAATTATGTATAAGCACCATATTTAAAAATTATGTATAAGCACTATAAATTAGAAGTTTAAAGTTAAACATAATTTTATAAATGTTTTAGAAAATATACTAGTAAAAGTTAGATTGTTTGATTTTTCAAATGGTAATAGTTTCACTATTTTTTAACAAAGGAGTAAATTTTGGTCAAATTATAGAACATATGGCTTTTGAAAAGCCAAAAGTAACAGAAAATCAGGGGACAAAGTGAGTACTACAGTTAGCTTCTCCAATTCAAGATCGTTGTCTATAGCTGTTTCAATATATTAGCTTCTGAATAAAGCTTTTTTTTCTTCTTCAAAATCATTAGCTTCTGAAAGTTGCATGTAGCTTGAGAGTTTGAACAAATAAGCTGAAAGAAAACAGAAAAGTCAGCTAGGACTTTTATGGAAAAACTACTTGTGCTTCTGGATTACTACGGTCTCTTCAATCTTGGCTATTGAATGATGTGGCATATGTATGAATATCCAGGTGATTCTTAACATATATGTTTGTGTTAGTGTAGGTACGTAATGTTGGAAAAGTTCTTCAACAGCATGGATAGTTCAATTCGGCTGCTGCATTTGAAGGGTTCTGCAACAACTTTCACTAATATTAGTGCCAAAGTGGAGAATTTGACTGATAAGTATGAAGATCACAAATGTTCAATCATTAATAATCACGGTGTTATCTATATCGAAAGGAATACTAATTCTTTATCTTTTGACTTCTAGAAGGTTTTCTTACAGCCATTTAGCTCAGCTGAAGTTTATTTTACCTGAAGCAATTGAGATACAGAAGATTCTCAAGCATGATGAGCTCACTTGCTGTATGAAGCCAGATTTTATATAACTTTAAATGCCAATGCAATTGATGGTAGTGAGAAGTGGAGATCTAACACTAGCAGTGTTCTGTTAAGGAAAATTTTCCGCTCTCGGCTCTTGGATTTCTTCAAGTCCCACCCTGGGGTAAGCAATTCTTCTAACGTTTTCATTTATTTAAAGAATGATTCTGCCCAAATATAACTCGATTCACTATTGATTCTTATTGGTTAAATTTACTAGGAAAGACTGGCAGGGTGTCAGGTGTGCCTGTCCTACTTAGTTCTTAGTTGATATTTATCTTTGTTGTTATGCGAAGATGTGCATTTTCTGTAAGACATCCTCCAACTCTTTTCCCTCTGCTCTGATGCTTCATTTGCAAACAATTGGTCTTGACTTATTGAGAGAAATATAGACCCGTTAACAGTATAGCAGAAGTTTCATATGGAGAAGCCGAGATTTTGAGTTATGGGTCTTTTTCAGTATGGCACGTTCTCTGACAAATGGTACATATGTTTCTAACATTTACATTTTGGAGAAGATCTCAAGTTCAATCATATTGTATAGTGCCTCTGGAACATTATAGGTGCTTTATACCATATCATGTTAGATCACAACTGCTCAGCGACCTGTATTTTACTCGTCTCAGCATTGAAATAACCAGCACAAACACTTTTACATATATGACCACCATGTTGTCTGCTAAGATCTCGTTAAAGTAGATTTGCATGTTTTACCTGAATCATATTGCCCCCTGTATCCCTCTAAAGAAAAGTGAAAGGAAGATGATTAGATGTATGATATTATTTCCATGACAGCACTTTCTCTATGCATGCATTGTTGGCAATAATTACTATTTTTGCATTTCAGGGTGATGACATTCCTGAGGAAACGTTGCCTGGGCCATTCTCACAGTCTAAGCAAGCAGTGCCAACTCGTCTAGATCGTCAGTCTCATCCTTAACCAATGAGACACCTGATGGTGCATTTTTGCTGCAGTCAGTATCTGCATCACACCTGTCTGGCTCTTTTAGAAGATACTTTTCTAAACAGGCATCTATTACCGGAGGAAATGCCGAAGAAGATAGAGCTGGGCTTGTGCCAGTTTCTCCAGTTTCATTACCCCTCAAAGTCGAAAGTTCCACTAAGAAGAAACCAGTAGCATGTGCTGATGCTCCTAAGTTATGTTCAAAACAAACTAATATGAAATACTCTTCAGGAGGGATTGTTTCGGCTAGTTCACCATCATGTCATCCACCTGCACCTCCGATGATTGAAGCCAAAAAGGGAGAAAATGGTTCTATGTCTGCTCCAGCTACCCCTATGCTTGAACCTCCTAAGAGATGTTACATGAGTCCAGACGATGATCCAGCTGAAACACCAATAAAACTAGCTAGGCATTCATCGACTAGAAGGTCATTATTCTTCGACACTCCTGTGCAGAATGCAAATTCTGCTGATCAAGTCTGTGAGAGTGAAAGGTTTCCAACCGATGATATTTTTGACATTCTTCCTGAGAATCTTCTGAAATCGGTAAGACAAGATCAACTTGCACGTCAATCTTCCTTGATAGAATTTGTTTAAACTAGCTCCATATGATTCATTGAAATTCTCATCTCTTGTAGTAGTTAAGCTACAAAAATTTGTCCCTCTGCATCTTTAGACTTTTATACTTCCATGAGTGTATCCCATAGCTTTATGTTTGTCATTCATGAATCATGAGATTATTGGGGGATTTTTCCCAACTTCTGATTCCACCAACGAGAAGTTGACTTGTATGACTCCACAGATGGGAGAAAAAGAGAGTAATGCACTAGAGCAGCAAGATCCAGCCATATCTCAGGCAAAAAGGCGCAAACAGATGATTGCTTGCTTGCCTCGCCTCTTTGACATGGTTTATTTCTTTTTTCAATCTATTAAATGTTCTGTCATGACGAAAGAAGAGCTCATGCACAGACTAATTTCCAAACAGACGGAGCTTACTGATAAAAGTAAGTCTAGTTGATAACTTATAATAACCATTTAGTCCTTTTAGATTTATACAAGCTTCATTTTAATCTTGATGTTTCATTAATGCAGGAGAAGTTGAAGAGCAGCTCATATTACTGCAAAAACTAGCTCCTGAATGGATTTATGAGAAACCAACATTTAGTGGAATTCTCCTCATATGGTAAGCTTCCATTCTTGATATCTGTTTGCTTTTTCTATTACAATGATTCATCCTTCACGTTTTCTTGATCATTTTCCTTCACTCAACTTTTGATGCTTGTTATATTTTGCAGCCAAAATCTAAAAAAAATGTTTGAAGTTTTATTGCCGTTATTCTTATTATGCAGTGTTAACAAGATATCAAATCCTGACACAATTCGTTCAAGACTGGCTGAAGCCAAGTTAGAGAAGCAAGAAAATAGTGATGGTACGATATTTTACCAACTTACTAAGCAATGACGATTTACTCAAAGTTTGTAAATAATAGTGTACTGTTTTGTTTGGGTAATACTGGGTATGTTGTTGTAGTGTATTGTTTTGTTTAATTAGGTAGATATATTTACAGTACCACTTCTGCTCCACAACGGATAGTGGAGTTCTGACTTTGTCTCATATAAAGTCCACAAGTCGACTTTATATGAGACCAATTTTTTTTTTTGGTTTCCGATCCGATGTCCGATATAGTCACAAATTTGTATTGTATAGTCACAAATTTGTATTGCATGATCACGAAATGCCATAAAATGAACTCGAAAATCATGGTGATGTAATGAGTATTGGTCACTATGCCGCTTTCTATGGACATGTGTAAATTCAGGCCAATCAGAGGCCATTAATTTTTTTAATTATAAAATCAACATGTATTAGTATACTCGAAAAAGTGGATATAATCATAAATTTGTGTTGTATGACCTCGAAATGCCATAAAATAAACTTGTAAGTCATGCTGAAGCAATGAGTATTGGTCACTAGGTTGTTTCCTGTGAACCTATGAAATTTCATGCCAATAACAGTCCGTCAAATTTTTTATATAAAATCAGTAGGTACTAATACACCTGTCACGACTCAGATTCCCACCGAAGCCGTGATGACGCCTAACATTGCTTGCTAGGCAAGGCAACAACCAATATGCATAAATAAAATCTAATAACAGTACTAAGTAGTCTCAAATGGGAAATAATATAAATAGCTGAAGTCAAAATAGCAAAACAACGGACAACTATCCCAAAATCTGGTATCACCGAGTGCATGAGCTCTATAGAGTACCAAATACAAAGTTTGACCAAAATACAAAATTGTCTGTAAGACTGAACAGTAAGAACATAAGATAAAAGAGGACTTCAAGTCGTGCGAACGGAACAATAGTGCTACCTCGAAACATCCAAGAAAATCTAGATATAGCTCTAGCAACCACCGCTATCAGCAATACTTGGATCTGCAAGTGATTCAGAGCCAGTCGCTCGTGTTCATGTAGATGACGTGGATTATAGCATACGAAAATCTGGGAATCGAGGAAATTCAAGTTTCATGACCCTAAAACACCAAAAAATGAGGAATGATCGTGGCGAGGCGATGCCTAATGTTCCTTAGGTCATTTTTTATGGGCCGACAAAATTTTAGGCGATTCGGGTCCAGTCGTCGACCCATGCAGATGGTGTGGGCTATATAGCACACGAAAATCTAAAAATCGAGTGGAATTCTAATTTTATAGCCATAAAACGCAAAAAAAAAAATGAGGAACGGACATGGCGAGGCGATGACTAATGTTCCTTAGTTCATTTTTTATGGGCCCTCAAAATTTTAAGCGATTCGGGTCCGGACGTCCGAACCCATGCAGATGGTGTGGGCTATAGCACACGAAAATTTGAGAATCTAGCAAAATTTCAGTTTTATGGCCCTAAAATGCTACAAAACGAGGAACGGTTATGGTAAGGCGATGACTAATGTTCCTTAGGTTATTTTTTATCAAGCGGTAAAATTTTAGGCGATTCGGGTCCAGTCTCCCGGACCATGTAGATGACGTGGGCTATAACACACAAAAATATGGGAATCGCGCGAAATTCCAGTTTTATAGCCCTAAAACGCCAAAAAACAAGTAAAGGTCATGGCGAGGAGATTACTAATGTTCCTTAGGTCATTTTTGATGGGCCGACAAAATTTTTAGGCGATGCGGGTCTAGTCGCCTAGACCCATGCAAATGGTGTGGGTTATAACACATGAAAATCTAATAATCGGGCGGAATTCCAGTTTTTTGGCCCTAAAACGCTAAAAACGAGGAACGGTCATGGCTAGACAATGACTAATATTCCTTAGGTTATTTTTAACGGGTCGAAAAAATTTTAGGCGATTCGGGTCCGGACGCCCGGACCCATGCAGATGGCGTGGGCTATAACATACGAAAATTTGGGAATAGGGCAGAATTCGAGTTTTATAGTCTTAAAACGCCAAAAAAAAAAAAGGAATAGTCATGGCACGACGATCACTAATGTTCCTTAGGTCATTTTTTATAGGTCGACAAAATTTTAGGCGATTCGAGTCCGGATACCCGGACCCATACAAATGGCGTGGGCTATAGGATACAGAAATTTGAGAATCGGGAAAAATTCCAGTTTTGTGGCCCTAAAATGCCAAAAAATGAGGAACGGTTATGGCGAGACGATGACTAATGTTCCTTAGGTCATTTTTTATGGGCCAACAAAAATTTAGGCTATTCAAGGCGATTCGGATCTGGTCGCTCGGACCCATGCAGAGGGCGTATAGCTCACGAAAATCAGGGAATCGGGTAGAATTTCAGTGTTTTGGCCCTAAAATGCTAAAAAAATGAGGAAAGGTCATGGAGAGGCGATAACTAATGTTCCTTAGGTTGTTTTTGATGAGCCGGCAAAATTCGGGTCCGAACGCTCAGACTCATGCAGATGATGTGGGCTATAGCATACAAAAATATGTATATAGGGCGAAATTCTAGTTTTATGGCCCTAAAACTCCAAAAAACGAGGAAGGATCATGGCAAGTCGATGACTAATGTTCCTTAGGTCATATTTGATGGGCTAAAATTTTTTAGGCGATTCGGGTCCGGTCGCCTAGACCCATGTAGATGGCATGGGATATAGCACATGAAAATCTGGGAACCGGGCGGAATTCAAGTTTTATGGCCTTAAAACGCCAAAAAATGAGGAACAATCATGGTGAGACGATGAATAATATTCCTTAGGTTGTATTTTTGGGCCGAAATTTTTTTAGGCATTTCATCCGAACCCATGCAGATGTCGTGGGCTATATGACACAAAAATCTGGGAATCGGGTGAAATTCCAGTTTTATGGCCCAAAACGCCAAAAAACGAGGAACGGTCATGGCGAGGTGATGACTTATTTTTCTTAGGTCATTTTTGATGGGCCGACAAAATTTCAGATGACCGGACCCATGCATGTGGCGTGGGGTATAGTGCACGAAAATCTTGGAATCGAACGGAATTCTAGTTTTATGGCCATAAAAAGCCAAAAAATGAGGAACACATATGGCGAGATGATGACTAATGGTCCTTATGTCGTCTTTGATGGGTCTACAAAATTTAAGGCGATTCGGGCCCGGACGCTCGGACCCATGCAGATGGCGTGGGTGCACACGAAATGTTGGAATTGGGCGAAATTCTAGCTTTATGGCCCTAAAATGCCAAAAAAATAAGGAACGGTCATGGCGAGGCAATGGCTAATATTCCTTAGGTTATTTTTTATGGTCCGAAACGTTTTTAGACGAATCGGGTCCGGTCGCCCGAACCTATGCAGATGGCGTGGGTTATAACATACAATAATCTAAAAATCGGGTGGAATTTCAATTTTCTGGCTCTAATACACCAAAAAATGAGGAACGGTCATGCTGGGGCGATGACTAATGTTCCTTAGGTTGTTTTTGATGGTTGGCAAAATTTTAGGCAATTCGGGTCCGGACGCCCAGACCCATGCAAATGGTGTGGGCTATAACACTCGAAAATTTGGGAATGGGGCGGAATTCTAGTTTTATGACCCTAGGAAGCCAAAAAACGAGGAACGATCATGGCGATGATGACTAATCCTTCTTAGGTCATTTTTGATGGGTCGACAAAATTTTAGGCGATTCGGATCCGTGTTACACCACATGTTTTCGTACGTAAAAGTACGCCATACGTAAATTGATGAAATCTCGGAAATAAGATATTACATCCCGCATTTTCGCATGTTAAAGTTTCGTCGTAAGGTAATCGACGTAATTTCGGTAATGGGATTATTTTGAGATTATAAGCATTATGCTATTTCAAACAAGTGACGAGTAAATTAGTGACGGTGAGAGGATAAGCGAATCGAAGAAAATTAGTTTCGGCGAAATTTGACAATTTGGGATAAAATACGGCACGAGCTATAATACCCGATATTTATGGACTGGTACCATACAAGGTACAAGGTTTTAGGAAGATAGGAGTAAGGATAAGAAAGGGCGAGTGAGAAGGTGACTAGAATGAATAAGTCCTCAAGATTAAGCCCAGGAAAACAAGAGAGCTAATGGTTTCTCTAAGTTATACAAAGCTTGGTATAACCTGAATGAACTCAAATGAGTCTAAGAC